AGAGGGCTGCATGAAAAACCATCCTGTGATTACTCTGGCCACTAGCAGATTGCAGTGGCCACTGTAGTTTGTATGAAAAACTTTAACTTGTCTACAAACACTTGCAAAATGTGCCGAGGGTATTCGGTAGCTGTTGGCAGACATGTAGGCATTTTCCATACAAACTACAGGCAATCTGCTAGTGACCGAAGCAATCACAAAAAGGTTTTTGATGTAGGACCCTCTTTAGTACCAATTTCACCCAGCAACTCTCAGCAACGACTTGACAACTGGTTGGGGAATACAGGAGGTCATCCAGGCCTCTGTAACTTACTTACTTTTATTTTACTAGTAACTGATTTAATCTTTTTTAAAGACATTGTTTGTCTTAGTTCAAGTACTTCTGTTACTAAAAGGAAGAAGTTCCCTTTTTAAATATGTCACTAGTGTTTAGAGCCTTTGTTTGAAACGCCATAAACAGTTACCAGCTGATCTGACCAAAGTCAGGTAAACGAGTTATCCATTTCTTGTCGTGACAACAAAACAAGACTATTTTTAAAGCGCGTGGTCATATCATCTTAGTGAGGATTCATAAATAACTACACATGATAAATGTCTGAGAAATCTGTTTACATTTCATGTGCCTGACAGATCAGATTTTTAAATCAGCAGATATCGGCATTGGTCATAAAAATCTCAGTTGGGTTCTAGCAGTCTTGCTCTCCGCTCAGCTTGAGACAAAGAGTTGTGGGCTGACTTAAAATGACATTTGCAAAGTCTTATCATGCTTCACATACCAAATTCTTTTCTCCCCAGCCAGTATATTCTTCTTCTACTGTGTGACTTGTCTGTTGGTCCCACTATTTTCTCATCATTTCCAGAGCAAAGATGGTATTCCAGATTCAACTGTCTGACTGTTCTGAGCACACTGCAGGGGAGCTTGTAGAGTATTTTATTTAGTTGTAATTGCCTAACAGTTATGCGTTCAAAACAGCAAACACAGTAGTGAAAAGTGTACTTCTTAGCATTTATAATGACAGAACTGGAGCAAATGACCCAGCAATTACGTAACCTGTAACAGCCACGTGAGCAACACCAGCACCCTATTTAAATCTGTAGATAAACAGACAGGTATGAGTTATGCCAGATATAGACTTCTGAGGAAAATCGAAGTCGTAACTGGAAACTCCTTTTAACCTCATGTTGTAACCTTCCAGGTAACCTGAAGGGACCTGAGAAATGTAACTACATGTCCGGTCAACACAGATCACAATGAGTCCGACTGGTCAGGAAGATTATGGCGTAGATTTCGCGCTGAAGCGTAATTCAGGCATTGGACTACTTCTTGCCAGTAGCTGTGGCGTGACAATTTAAAGACAGAGTCAAAGTCCACTAACAGTGTAAGAAATAGAGCTCATAAGTAAAGTGGAAGCCAAGAAAACAACTAAAAACGAGCAGTGTCAGTATTGCTACTGTAAGCATCAAGGTTCAAGGATCATTCCTGGTCTCAGAAATAGTACTCTCCCCCACAGATAAATTAGTCAGAGAAAACACAATCTACTCCAGTCATTGTTGGGTCATGTGACACCGGAAAAACGACTTGTACGCATGTCAAATCACAGCCAAGAGACAGTTTTTATTCAGGACAATGGATAAACGATGCCTACTTTACACAGTATGGCCATTGACTAAACTTCCTGCCCTGACAAACCATGCTATTGAGGGTGGATGGAACTGCCTATGGAGTCATTCAAAAGGGATTCCCCCTGCGTCTACTTGGTGACAAACGCCCGGTCTGAATGAAAATTGGTAAACGGGCAGCTGCAACATCCTGCTACAGTGAAAACACTCTGAGGCAGATGAAGGCAGACAGGGTTGGTAGACTGTTCCAGACAGCTGCTTTGACACAACAGCCTTTCTTTAGAGTGGATTTGTAACCACCCTTCATTTGGCTCACATTGCTGCCGGTGTGTTTGTTTTGCAAGTATAACCACCTGCCTTATGCACAAACACACACACAGAAGCTCAGCAGATGGAGTTACACCAGAATTATAGGCCAAGCAGCTATGTTGTGTTAATAGGATGGCACCACTGGGTCTCTATCACAAAATGAATATCAGAAACACAATTAGTGCAGCACAGTTTTTGTCTGCGCTGGATGCAAAACATGATTTGTGATACAAAACCCCAAACAGACCTGGTGGGACTGCCGTTTACAGTTAATTTGCTCCTTTGATTAGTTTGGGCTCGCAAATAATGCAATAGAAAAGCTAAATGCTACTTTCTTGGCACAAACTTGTGAGTGTGCATGCAGGAAGTGGTCTGATTGGATTAGTGGCTGAAATGAGAGACCAGTCACAGTTGGTATTACACTCAGTTCATTTAAAATAAATTCATTTAGTATTTTTTTCCTTTTACAGGATGCTTGCATAACAAAATAACTGCCACCAAAAATGTGTCATTTAAGTCTAAAAAAAGCCAATTACAGATCTACTATTGTCCTTACAGTAATCTTTAATAAACTAATCCTATCAGAGCGAGATCTGTGGCAGCGGGTCAGTCTGCTGGCTATGACACACCATCTGCTCGGGACTCCTAATACCAGTCTTGACCTTTTTAAAATGGCGCGTTGCTGCGACTCTGTCGGAGTTTGGGACTAGCAGGACATTCCAGGGACATTTGAGAACAATTTGAGTGATCGCAGATAAAACTATGCAAGCATGGGGAGATAATTACAGCTGCACAACTGCAGTGGACTGGATCATACGACAGGAGAGGGGGCGAGCGCCCTGAGGTGACGGGAGTTCACAAACAGTCCTCTGCCCGCAGCACAGTGTGAACGGCTGTCACCTGCCCCCGTGACAGTCGTTCACAGTTAATGGTTATACCTGGAGCTCAGGTAATGCTGTTGTGTCTAGGTAAGGTCCTTGAACGCAACAGAAGAAACAGGACCACCCTGGCAGTAAACAACGATGCCACCACATTTATCTGAAAGTAATTATTAAAATATTACTTACAACACCTGAAACTAAGCTTTAAAGAGAAGACTTAAACTGTTTGCAAGCTATTATAGAGCTCAGACAATACACTCACCATCTCTTGTTTGAGAAACATCATTTTGCTTTCCAGTCTTTTTATGTCCGCAGAGTTAGCGCAACATTTGCAGTTCCCTGAATGCGGCGCTGCGGACTTGTCGTGTTTCCCTCCGGCGAGAGAGCGAAAGAGACTGTCCGGAACTTTTCGGCCCAACTTCGTCTCTATGTCTTTCAAGTCTCGCATGACGCTGTTGTCCTCCTCCATCGCGGGGTGTCACACACGCAGTCAGGACAGTTATCTGCGACCACGGAGGTTATATTCCCACAGCCTGGCGGGCTGTTCGCGCGAGCTTTAATCAGAGAGGAGTGGAGTCAAAGTATGCTAATAAAAGTTTTAAGGCGCGCGCTCATCGCAGCTTCTTCGCTGTGACGCTAAACTCACCGCTGCCACAGCAACAGACCTCCCATTTAAGCTCGTGAATGGACAGTTTGACGACAACGCGCTCTCCGCGGACCCTCCCATTGGGGGAGCTTCCTCTGAAACCAGACTCCCTACAGGTGAGACGAGAGAGCGAGAGAAATAAAAAAGCAGAGGTGTTTCCAGGATATTATTTTTCAAAAGCGGTGGCAAAAGCCCACAAAGAAAATAAGCATGACTGTTTAAAAATTTATTATGAATAACTTTTTGCAAGGTCTTTTAATTCTCTTTATTTTCTCACCTCGTGACCCCCCGACAAGCTGAGCTCGTGTTGTCAAGGGAAACTAGTCACAGTCAACTGGTGCTTTCAGAGTCCTGTAACTGTAATAAAAGACAGTTGCTAGAAGTGATAAATGAAGTTATAGCAGGGGCGTGTCCAGAGGGGTGAAGGGCATGGTTACTGCCCCCCCTGAAAATATAATGCCTCTTTTCGTTAGCGACTACTCAGCCTGAGTCTGCTCTGCTTGTTTTTGGTCATTTTCCATTACAATTGAGTACCACCTCAATGTGTATGGGGGTCGTTATAGCATTGTTTGTGTCATATGTATGCGACAGTGTAGGATGTTGAGGCGATGGTATACCTGCTGCTCGGTGTAAAGGTTTTTGTCAGACACAGGGACGACACACGCACACAACACCATGCCAGATTACTGTTAGGCTGCTCCCTTGTCACGAGGGGTCAATACAACAAGTAGGTCCATGTTGTACCCCTCGATTTGTCAGACTTCCTGACCCAACAACAAAGGAGACTTGGGTCTCTGTGGAGACTTTAAGCATTAAGTTTATTTTAATGCTAAAACCTTTGTAATATTAGGGCACTTATTAGGATTAGTGGCTCCATAGTACAGGGGTTTACACACTTGGCTAACAAGCAAAAGATCCCTGGTGTCACCCAAGGCCTCTGGGGCTCTTATCAAGAAGGCCATCTGGTGTAAAAACTAAACACCCTTTGTGAATAATGAAGCAGCTGAAGCTAACTTCTTCTAGGTTTTTCTTGAGTAAAGAGTTTAAATACGTCTCTGCATAGATTCTCAATCATCCAGGTCATGGTAGTGTAAGGAGCCTGGAAAGAAAGCGTCATGGTTTCATGATATTTCAAGACGTTTCACAAAAAGTCTAAACATTTGTTTCACTGCTTTGCAAAAAACTCAATGCAAACAGTGTTTAACCTCGTGGGCAGTGCCGCTTATCGCGTAACACCATCTGCACGAGGACGCAGGGCAGCAAATGAGCCTGAAATCCATGCCCACTGCTATCTATGCCAATTTTCTACACTGTATTTGTTCCACATCAAGTTTTTCCACATCTGTGATTTTCCCGTGGGCCTGCATTGTTCACACCCTTAAGTAGCATAAATGATTCCCAGATGCCAAACTATTTAATGTAAAGCCCCTAAGTTCAACAGAATTATTTATGTAAAAATACAAAAGTATAAATTACATTTTTCAACTATTGTATGAAAAATGTGTTTCAGCTAAAAAGACAGAAAATAAAGACTCTTGACACTCTTTTACATTTGATCTAAATCACCACTCTGCTTTATTTTCCTTCTACTTCTTCGTTTATTAGCAACATTTCAAGTCAGGTGAAACAGTAACTTAACACATCATAAAAAAGCATATCTATCTATTGAACGTTCAGTAGGTCCTGCAGAGTTCTAGAAATTAAACTACAGCACCCCCTTGTGGGTAACATGGCTTAATTGCATGGGCACTTTGATGAAATATACCTTTTCTGGTATTGTGCAACTGAACCAAGCGAACCTAAGAAGTCAGATAAACTCAGGGGATGATGTAGAGTATGCAGTTAGTAAAACGATAGTCATGTTCAGGAAGTATTACTTCCTTCATTACTTTAAATGGATGTAAAACGCTCACTGGCACATTCCTTTCAGGCGTGCCCCCTTTTTGTTAAGTGACTCAGCAAACACTGAACTTAGAAGTCAGCTGATCTTGATATGCAATTCCTGATTTAAGGCCTTTTTTTAACCACTGATCAAATTCAGGGTCCTGGAGGGGTGACGCTGGGCAGAGACGGGGTGAAAGTCTATTTCAGGGCCTTTTTATTATAAAAAGTCTTCAGTAAGTAGGAAATGTAAAAGTCAATATTTACATCTGCACTATTTGTAAATATAGACGCACAAATGCAGCAACAAAAGAGATGATTTTATGTTCTAGTGAGAACAGATTCAGACTTTAACAAACCACACAAGCGTGTCACTGTGAGACAAAGAGGCGCTTTAAAGTGGGGCTTGTGTGTGTGAGAGAGAGTTTATACAACAGATTGGCTTTTCTCATCATCGTAGCGCTGGTACTGATCCCCGAGCAGAGGCTGGTGGCCCTCCTTCCTGTGAGACCGGGCACGCACAGCACACGTGGTGAGAGCGAAAACGACCGCGACGATCATAAGGGCAGCGACTATGGCCATGGTTATGATTTCGCTCAGGGTGAAATTTTCACCTGGAAAGGCAGGAGTAAACAATGATTACAGGTCATCTGAGCATTTCTCTGAAGGCGAGATTAAAGGCGTGCGGGTCAAATGTGTACCTGGCCATTCGGCTTGGTAAGAGTAACCGAGGTTTTCAGGGGCGGTCACAAACATCTCCGAGTTGGTCACCGGAGGCCAGAAGGGCACCATGTTGTAGCGCCTGTTGTGACCGATGGGAGCATCTTGTTCTGGGTACACAGCCGCATCTGTCGGGAAGCACTTTAAATTAGCACAAAAGCTCACCGCGCCATTATGAAGGACAATACGTTTTTTAAAAACAGATGCTACTGAAAGACCTGGGCTGTGCCTCCTCAACCATTCATCAAATATTGCGTCGGTAAAGGTGTGGAGCAGGACGAAGATGGGGTCGTTCGGGGAGAGGTGAGTCTGTCCTCCTGTCCCGTTCAGGAACAAATGAGCCAGATTGTGGAGGCTCCTCACTATAGGGTCGTAGTTCCCCTTGGGGGCGCTGTAGCCTGCCAAAATAGCACGAAAGGGCACGAAAAGCTGTGTATGTGAACGCAAAAGAGTTGTATGATGGACAGACAGAAATATCTTTGTGCTCGCTCACCTTCAATGGTGTTCCTGAAGCTTTCAGAGGAGGTGGAGAAAAATGGCGGCGTGTCAAAAGTGTTGACCTGCAGGCAGTCTGCCACGTCCTGGGGCTCCGGGAGACGCTGGACCATAGGCCTGTTCACATTTCCTGCCGGGTTTCTTCTAATGGGAGAAGACTCGGTGCCTGGAGGGAGGGAGGGAAAGGAAAACAACCTGGATATTACCGTATTTTCAAAAAGAACTCCAAAACAAAAAACACCCCACAGATCACTGCAACATCACCAGTCTCCAGCCTCACTGTTGCAGATGGTTCCCAGCGTGTCGTAGTCCTCCACGCTCTCACAGACGACTCTCCACTGGGAAAAGATGGAGTTAGAACTCAGAGAGTTCATGTCAAAATTGCTCCTGGCTCCCATCAGGTCATCTGTGCAGATGTCACATGTGTTTCCCCCGATAGCAAAGTTCCAGTAGGGCAGGGCGAAGGAAGGGTTTTGCAGCATGTCCTGGGTATTGAGTATGAATAAAATCAAAGCATGGCTGGGTTAGAGTGTGTCGCCATGGATAAGGATGTATTTGACTGTGATGCAAACCAAATGCATTCAGTCTGAAGAGTCGGTATTGCAATCTTTCTGATCTAATTTAAAGTTTAGTTTATTTTTAATAAATTGTGCTAAAAAAGAAAGCTCTAGTGGAAGTCTTTTTAATCCCTTTAGTTATGTAGAACGTCTATATGAAGACAGAAGTTGGGGGGATGTATACGGTGCTATAAAGTCACGATGGATTCAGCAATGATGAAACTTTGTGAAAGGAAGTTGCAGTGCAGCGCTCTTGCTCTGCTTCAGACTTATTTCATGACTTTCCAATGCAAAACCTCGTAGTTTAAGATAAGGCGTAAAGGTAAAGAAAATGTTTCAATAGAGGATTTATAGGGGCAAAATATTCATGAATCTCAAAGGAACATAGTCTGTCTGCTTGGCTGTGAATTATTCCCTCCTTCAATTCTTCTTCTCCGGTGGTTTATCAAAGGAAAACTTACCAAATCCCACTTTTAAAGTCTATGCTTGCTGATATGAAACCAGTCGGGTAAAAGAGTGAGTTGAAGATAGAAACCCCCCCACCACACTAATAAAATCCAGGCATTCTTACCTATATGATTTAAATGCAGCAGGACAAGAAGCAGAGACAGTTCATTCTAATTCTTACTGGAGAAAAAAAGAGCCTCCACCAGTGTGTGAATGTGAGAGTGAATGAATAGTAGAATTGTAAAGCGCTTTGAGGGCCCCGAAAAGCGCTATATAAATGCAATCCATTATTATTATTATTATTATTTCCCTCAAACTTCACCAGTGTGACAGATTTGAGGATGAAAACAGAACAACAAAAAACAAGGCACTAATTAGGGATCCCAATTTAAACCAGAAACTTGCTCAGGATAAGGAAGGAGCTTCTCTGCAGGAGTCCAACACTGACAGGGTTCAAACCCACACAGCACACACAGCAGCCTCATTCTCTGCCCTTAATTGTGACCCGACTGATGCATGCAACACCGACCCTGGAGCGGATTATTAACATTCTCCACGTGTCACTTTCGTGATCGTTAAAGTCTAATAACGCCTCTTCAACAAAGCTCCTTTCAGTGCTGTTTTCTCCAAATGGATGGTGTGCAGACCGAATCCAATCTCTAATTTGAAGTGGTTAAAGTCACATTTTGCGCGCTGCTCGCTTATTAAGGTGTGACATTGCTTCGTCAATTATGATTTCTTCGCCATTACAGTTTGCGGGGAAGCGCATTAGACAAAACAAAACAAGCGGGCAGGGGAGGGTGGGGTGTCGGGAGGCAAGAAGGACATTTGTCGGTGTTGAACTGGTAAATTAAAGATGTCGATAAACAATTAAGTGATGATTAGCGACTCTCAGGCAACAAAATCAGTTTTTTTTATTTTCTTTTTCAAATTTGAGTTAAAAAGACCCTAATGACATCCGCAACACTACAGTGTACGCTGTTATAGATCTAATTATCTGCACTATCTCACCTGCATGTCTCGCTCCAGCTGGAGCAGGTGGTACCTGTGCCAGGTCAGGAAACCGGGGCCCTCGTGCGAAAAATCCACGCCCCCAAAACTGGCCTGCCCCGCGCCCAGGAAGGTCTTGCTGACGGAGTAATAGTGGGACCAAACGAAGTAATTGTAGATGGAGACGTTTTCAAACTGCGTGGTGTTCCCGTCAGGGCCAAAGATGCCCGGATAGTGCCGCGTTGCGATTACCAGATCGGGGTGCACCGTGCGCTTGGCCTGGTCCAATGCGTTCACGAACGCACGTTTTTCCTCCGCGCTGAGCTGCATCACGTTTCTTCTCACTGGAGGATTATAGCATTGGAGAAAAAAAACATATTAGCTCAACCGGTCGCGCTAATTGGAAATCAGTTTTTAATACCCAAGATGCGCGTAATTGGTACATTTTTGGCAGCTTTTTTGCACTTACCAACAGGAACTCTTTGGTCACAGTTGGGCCCGGTCAATCCGTGTTTACAGCGGCCGCAGTTATGACCACTGAAGTTTCCGTTACACTGACAGGTACGGCTGAAAAAACGGCTGGGCCATCGTTCCCGATCATCCCGTCCGTCGTGCGGGTACTGAGGCCCATGCGGCTGTGTGTCCACCGCCACCGACACACACTGTCCACGCCCGGTGCTGGAGCCACACGGGTCATTAGGCAGTCCAGAAGGCGACGGGCAGCACTGTCCACTCCTGAGACCCTCTGGAGTCACACACTCTCTGGGAAACTGAGCGCTCACAACCACCGCGCCCACAATCACCAAAAAGCAGAACTGCCACATTATCCAAAAAAGAAAAGTCGCTGCCAAAGTTTTACGCACGGCTGGTTTCGAGTCTGTTTTTACTGACTGACTTCGAGTACAAACCTGAACTAATTATTTTCCCCCAAAATACACTTGCATCACTTCACATCAGAAGTTATTTCTTCTCTGCCAAATGAGTGGGTGTAAACCTCCACCTTCCATGCACCCACGCAAGACTCCACTTCTGTTTCCCCCCCAAAACCACTGAACCGACGACCTTAAATACCGGATTAGCGCATGACTACCGGATTTACTGACTCCCGCGTGATCCCATCACATAACATCATATTTCCTAGGGATGGAGAAGGTAGTGTGATCCGGTCATGCACACTTTTATTCCTCTAAAAAAAAGTCCCTGGATGTCTACAGTCGACCGAATAAACACAGCATTAAATGTAAGAAAGTCCAATTAATAACCGACTCTAAGAAACACAAATTATGATAAATGACTACTTCCACACACACAGTGTAACGTCTCAGTGCGCTTTTATGAGCACTGTATGAAAATTAATTAGCTATGAAGTAATAGTTCCCCCCTCACAAATCTTTTAGCAAAGGAATAGATGTTTGAAGAGTTAAAATAATAATAAAAAAAATTTTTTCAGCATGTTGAAGAAATTCAACCTAGTGTGTGTGACACTGGAATTTAATCTTGCCTCAGAGGTTTGCTAAAGTGATCATATTTCAGGTCATTTGACTTCTCAGGAAGGCCCCTCCACCCTCCCTCTCCACCTCCTTCTTTCCCCAAACCCGAGCCTGATTTTACTGTCCAGAGCATGTGAGACTTGAAAGCACGAACAGCATTTATCCCACAAGAAAAAGTCTTTGAGAAATGTAAAAATGTCTCTGTGTTTTAAATCAGAATAAATAACAATGCAACAGGTTCCTATTTCCTTGCACGTCATGCATGGAAATTTAAAATCTGAATTCAAAACAGATCAATAAATACTTTGCTGGTTTAATCAGCCTTTTAAATGCTCCGGGTGATAGATTGTTATAACTTGCCTACAAGGAAATTTGTCGTCCCAGTCAGAGCTTACACAGAAACACACAGTGTTTGTTGAGGGCTCGTACTGCACGCACAAACCTAAGGCACACTCGTCTCCATCTGAAAGTTCCTTATCTCCAGCCCCTCTGGCAGTAATGTGATGTGGGGAATGAGGTGATCAGTGTCATGAGAACTAGCTGTGTGATGTCAGACCGGAGGGATTGCATGTAGGAAGGCTTTTGAGGTAATAATGGTGGCAAGTCTGGTTGTTGGAGATAAAGAAGGTATAATGATGTTTCATGCAGGGAGGGGAAACCCAAGATGTGGCCTGGGGAGGTCACACCACACAATAATGTCATCTGGGTTCCCCACACAACCAGTGCTGAAGCTGGTTCTGCTGGCTGAAGTGCTGTAGTTCCCATGCAAACACACAGTACTTATCGGCGATTAATAAAGGGCAAGCTCAGATTTTTTGTTAGCCAACTGTGTGTTATGTAGACAAGGTCATTATATTTCGAATATATCCAAAATCTTTGCAAAAGTCTCGAAAAAAATCCTCAGGACTACAAAAACTTTATAGTGCAAGATGTAAATGGTAAAGAGGTAAGCAGTTTCTCGGCATGTCTGTTATAAAAGACCATAAAAAGTAAGAATATATGAATTTTACAATCCCAGAGAAGCAGAAGGTGGGACATCATGTTGTCTCATCAGGAGTAAATTCAGGCACAGCAGGAGGGAAAGCTGTATACCTGTCACACATAAGGACCTTCTGTTTCCAACTAACTTTAAGGAATTATTTAATATTCTTCAACATGGAGTACAACACACTCCTAAAGATGGCTGTAATTTAAAAACATAGATACGACATGTTTGCTAGCAAGCCTCCCAAATGTTTAACAGCTTGGACATTTGACCATGTGATGAATCTTTCAACCACCAAAGACACCAGACAGAGAGAAAAACATGTTTTCCTGCAGCTCTAAGTTAAATTCACTTCTAACGAATGAGTTAGAGCTCACTTCACAACGAAGACTGGATGTAAGCCTTCACAACAAACCATTCACATGACACCTTGGCTTCTTTTCTTCATTTGTTTATGATAAATGTGTATCTTTTTATTTTAACTGCATTTTTCTTTTATGTTGATACTGTTGATTGACAGTGAACAACTGTGGTTAAGCTAAGTGACAAAAGAAGCAAAGATGTCTGCTTGTGCTTGCTAAATAAATTCTGGCAGGACCGATCAGGCGAACAGCAGCGTGTTTCCTCTGCTTATTATTTCTCCTGTTTTACAGAACGCTAATCTGCCCACCGTTACGCTTGATGCCATGATAATCCAAACAGTGCTGAGAGTCTGAATTTGAATTAAATCTCCAGGACTTATTTTCCTGTTACGTCAGTTCAAAAGTCACATTTTTGAGAATAGCCACTGAATGATAAACAGATTCGCTATTGGTCCGATGTGACTTTTGTGGATTTATCTTCAAAGGCTCACATACAAAGAGACCATAAGTCTTTGTGCAGCTTTGAATTCCTTTGTGTAACCACAGCAAGCAACCTTCAGAAAGATGCTGACCCACATACAAGAAGTATCCAGACTTCTTCTGTTTGCTCAGTTTCCAAAACTTTAAACGACTTTCTTCTTTTAAATACGATTCTGATCTCACCACATTATTTATCAGCTGCATTTGAGGTGAAGGTTACTGTTAATTGTCATTCATTAATCATGTACAACTCTTGTTTTACGTGTAGTTACGGCATTTATTATGTTTAATTTGTGCCTTTGCTTGTGTTAGTTCTAATAAAAGTTTTATACGTATAAAGATATTACATATAAGATAACTCAGTCCTTGTATTAGATGGAATGTTACTTAATTTTCAGTTAAAATCTCTTTCAAAGTTACTAGTAACTATCTATAATTATTTTGCTAACTTTCACCATCAGACTGTGTTATTGCGTAGTGGTCTAACTGGTTATGCTTACTAACTCTGATTCTCTGATTCCCTCCACATCATTTTTTATCTTTGTTGGCCATAATTAATGCATTTAGCTAATTTTCTTGATTCACTGTGATGTTTGTATCCAGGGTCATGCCTCCACAAACAAAGAGTAACACCCCAAATTAATTATCTGGATAAAGTTATTTTATTATGATGATTCTTAAATCCTTTAAACATGCAGCCTCGCTGAGATCGGGACCTTGGCTCTTTTTTTCCTGCTGTATTTTGATAGATACAGTGAAGAAAGGACAGAAAAGCAGGGGCAGAGAGAGAGAGAGAGGAGAAGGCATGATGCACAGGGCTGCAGGTCAGACTCAAACTTGGGCCGGCTGCTCTCAGCCGTATGTCACGTGGTCGCCTGCTCAACACACTGAGCGCCCATTCATCCAGTTTTTCTAAGCCCAGCGTGAGTAAAATGTATAGCTGGTGTTAGAAAGTCCTGTGACCTGACACTGTAAATACTCTATTTAAATGTAATAAGAGATTACAGGTGACCAGAAAGTCTTTGAAGTAGAGCCTTATAAATAAACACCAGACACTCTGGCTGTCTTCTTTTTGTTAAAGAAGGCCACCCTACCTTTTATATAAGAGAAAAGCATCACTGCCGATGCACACTGTTGATATATGCTCTAAAGCCCTCCTCCCGGTGGGACATGCCCGGAACACCAACCCCAGGAGGCGCCCAGGAGGCATCCTTGTCAGATGCCCGAACCACCTCAGCTGGCTCCTTTCGATGTGGAGGAGCAGCGGCTCTACTCTGAGCCCCTCCCGGATGGCCGAACTTCTCGCCCTATCTCTAAGGGAGAGGCCAGCCACCCTTCGGAGGAAGCTCATTTCCGCCGCTTGTATCCGCGATCTCGTTCTTTCGGTCACTACCCACAGCTCGTGGCCATAGGTGAGGGTAGGGACGTAGATCGACCGGTAAATTGAGAGCTTCGCTTTTACACTCAGCTCCCTCTTCACCACGACGGACCGGTGCAGCGTCCGCATCACTGCAGCCGTCGCACCAATCCGTCTGTCGATCTCCGGTTACCTCCAGGGCCGGAGATACAGTAATGTTAGATTCAATAGAAAACACACGATATGTGCAAATACCCAAAATCATCAGTCTTTGTGAGAGGTGTTTCTTATGAGTCTTATACTGTGTGAGTTCATAGTTTTCAATTGTTTCCACGACTATAAAAAGTTTAATATGCAGAAGAAGCAAAAAACCAAAACAAAAAAACAACAAGAACTTTCCTCTGCTTTGTGTCATTTCCCCCCAGTTTAGCTGTTCTATGAATTATTTCTACAACATTCAATTGAAATCTCCCCTCAACTGCCCCTCGAGCACGTGGATGTTGATTTGTTTCATTGTTCCTCAGGTGAAGGAGCTGAGGTGGAAAGAAAAAAGAAAAGCACTGATTACTCCAAATAAGCTGATGATACCAGTGAAAAATCTTGATTATTTTGGTGTGCTGCTATCATAACCTCAAGGCAGTTTTGCAATTAGAGAAAAAAAAGTCTGTTTTTGCTTACAGACTCTGCAGCCATAACCCTAAGGACTTAAAATCTAGGGCAGGATCAGCAAGGCAGATGCTTTCAAAAACATCTTACAGTCTGCCCTTAATTCACAGCAAGCCTTACCCTGGATTTCAGAGGGCACTTGATAGCTTTTAATTGTTAGATATTATCTAACAACATCGAGGACATGTATATTAGCTATCCTCCAGGGGGATCAACATCCTCTAATTAGCAACCAGATGCTTTGCAAATTCACACATCAAATGCTCGTCATAGGGAGATCTTTCAGGAGAGGAAGAAAAACAAGTTCATGTCAAGGGTCTGACTTTAAATAACAACATCTGCTTTCTGTTGAATGGCAAGTAAAGAGTAAAGCAGCAGAAAATGAGTGTTCCTCAAAAACAACACTTGCAGTTAAATGCATGGAATAGTTGTGCAGTAAGTACAAAATTTAGGCAGCTTTTCTTTAAATATCCAACTGAAGCTACGATATGCATCATATCGGGGTGGATCCACTTTGCTCTCAGAACTGCTTTAATCTATCATGGCGCAGATTCAATAAGTGCTGGAAACATTCCTTGAGAGTTTGGTTCACATTGACGCAATAACATCATTCATCCATAATGTGAATCTCCTATCCTAAAGGTGCTCTATTGGACTGAGATCTGCTGACTGGAGGTCATTTGAGTGCAGAGAACTCATTGTCATGTTCAAGAAACCGGTGTGAACTTGATGACTTGGTGCGTTATCTGCTGG